ACTTGTACGTGTATTTTTTATGTTATGAATTTTACACTGTGTACGACATACCTGATCCAAATACATCGACATTTATTATTCATTCCCTTTCGACTCTCTCTCTCTCTCTCTTCCACATCCATCTCCATCGTTTCCTTTTGTGCACACACAAAAATACCAATTTTAACGTCCAATGTTGTAAAAGCAGATGCTATGTGCTGCAAGCCGTGATGTAGTTCGATAGTTTCACATGTGTGTACGTACGGGTAAAAAAATGTTTCAGATGAAAATAAATAAACTTGATGTCTTCAGATGGTTCCGGTATTCATAGAAGTCATTTGAGGGTTTATGACGTCACAAAGTAGCAGATGATGTATTTTATGTTCATCATGAAATCTTATAAGAACTGCATTTTAATGTGCCAATGACACTGGACTGCATTCGAACAATGATGCAATTAAAAAAGTGTAATCACGTCTATTGTTGTTGAATTGAAATATGTGCGAACAAACTGATGATTCATGATTCAACTAATGCTGAAGTAATTTGAGGTATTTACGTTTTATACACCTCGATATCATGTGAACCATGAAATTGCACGAAAAAAATCTATTATCTGTGAATTGCATGTTTTGATCTCACTTAGTGTTGAAGTTTCACTTTTTAAATTAATTGAGTCACATGGGATGTGTGAATTGTAGTCAATGGAATGTGCAGTCTTGATTTATTGGCAATTCTTATTGTTTTTAAAACAAACGAACTTAATTTAAACGAACCGAAATTTGAAAATTTGAATTTTTGAACGCCGTTAAATTAAAATTATGTTAAGTCAAAGATTCTCAATCTAGTGTCGACAAGGTTTGACATATAAAAAAGACAGATTAATATAAAAAGCAATTAAGCATCAAAGATCATGTCATAAATTACAGAAAGCAATTGAACTCTTTTATCGTTGATATTTTAACAGCAAAATGAGGAATAGCATAAAATACTTTCATGACACTTTTTGACATATTGATTGCAAGGTATAAATATTGATAGTAGAAACGTGATTAATTTAAACTCAATCGTACATATTACAGGATCGATGGAATAATGTAATAGAAGCCATATGGTAAATATGTACTCTAGCTAGTTAGGAGGAAAACAGCAGTAAAAGTACTGATAAGAAAATTTATCAAAATAAATTGTACAAAAAAAAATTCCAATACATAAATCACATTTTATTGAAAATGATGGGAAATGTGTTAGGCTTCGTGTGAAAAAAAAAGTTTTTAAAATTAGCAAATATTAGATGTTCAAGTGGGAAAAAGGTCACATCAAAATTAAATTTTTTACATCCATGCATGCACTAGCAAATAATATATTATTGCCATCAATTGTTCACAGGATGAATTGAGAAAGAAAATTGCAGTTTTCTTATTATCCAGATTCCATTCTTAGTTATTAGAGGGGTGAGATTGGTCCATTTATTACAATATACAGCATGGGAATTTCTTTTGTATTAATTGAGAATGCATTAAACATTTATTTTTTAATTTTTTACTTCTTACGGTGAGAGTAAGGACGACGAAATCGTAATGAAAAGAAACATTGAAGGGATTATTATTAAAATAAGAAGGGGGAAGTTTTTTAAAAACTATATTACTTTTTAAACGATCTACTTTCCGGTGCTTCCTTGCATTCATTTCTGTAATATGGCTGGTAATTTGAGACCTGAGAAAATCATTTATATCCTCATTGAATTACATTATTTATTTTATGCATTTAAAAAAAACGAAAAGTCGAATAATTAATGAGAAAAAGTCACAACACTTTTTATTATTTTCCGTCTCGTATCTACTGAATATTCATGAGATATGCTATATAGTAATTTTTTGTGGAACTCTTTTTCCAAAGAATTATTTAATGTGTTAGACATTCTGAGTGACTGATTTTGTATTATTAATAGACTGCTGAATTGAATTTCATGCTGAGTATTCTTTTGGATGACTTGATTTAGTGTTGCCAACAAAATCATTGATTTTGAGCACTTGGGTTGTAGTCAAATTATAGTTTTAATTTAAATCAAAACCTCTGCACCAATCAAAAATGCGCGACAAACCAAAAATTCACTACATCCACAAATAACCTTAATTCCAGTTGTATAAATACAATATCAATTTCCAGTTTCAGAAGTCAATTTGAATATTTTTCAAATTTAATTCTAGCGGAAAGAAAGAGTCAACAAAACTCTCACAATTGTTGTTCCTGCTTATTGTTTCACTCGTCATTGGTTTTAATAGGCTTATCATTTTTATGGAACGACCTCTGCGATTTAATTTCAGTTCATTTACTTCTACTTTTATTGCCATTCTATAAATTAACACTAAACAATTTTCGTAACTGCATTTAAGAATGAAACCCTTCTTCATGTCTGCTTTCTTCTCATTTTTCAATTATTTTTAAAGAAGATTAAAATAAGGAACTCGGTTAGGTTTCATGAGAAAGTAATCAGACATAAGGAGTTTTTAAAAAGATAAATAATTTTTAAGGTAATCAATATAGGAATTGCAAATTCTAATAACCCTTCAATAATCTCGACAACTGCCTGCAAACCATGAGAAAGTAAAATCAGTAAGATAATCATTCTAGTCCATAACTCTTAAGCGCATTTTCTGTAAAATGTTGTTTATTTTAGTTTTTTGGCTATAGCAAAAGAAGGAACTGGTTCTTATGGTTTCTGTTGTACTGGAACCTTAATTCTCTTATTTATCTTTGGCATCAAACTAAAGTCTATATGTTATTCCTTTGACAAGATATCAGTGACAGCAGACATTACCAACTTTTTACTAATTATGTTAAAATGTTAAAAAGGGTAATGCGTTGAAACAACAGCATTAAAGCATTAAAATGTATACCTCTACAGTTATCGATTTCAATTATTGAGATCAGTTCTTCTTCTTCATCTGTTTGGTATAGTAAACAACCGAGAAGCATGTCATGTGAAAGAGAGAGAGACTGGAATGAGATTTTTGCACATTCAGCTTATTTCTGGCTACCAAAGAATGTTTATGTTTGGGTATATTTTCAAATATTTACATTCCTTTCATCACCGAATCATCTCACTTCAAGTAATATACCCAAAAAAAAATGAAAGCATTTCTCTCATACCTTCCAGTTCCATAACAGTTTTGAGATGAAATGAAAATATTTCACATGAAAATTAAGCAATTCCAAGAGATGTTGATGTTTTCTTTCACTGCCGAAATTTTAATGAGCATGAAGCTTTGTTTTTTCACTGTCTGACTTAAATTACCGACAATTCAAGCTTGTATGAAATATTTCATAAAAACTTTAAAAAAATTAATTATTTTTTAATGTTGATTTAACATGAAATATTTCAACTTCACGAGTGTTGATGATCTAGACATTTATAAATGAATGGATTGAGTTGCTTAATATTCCGTTAATGTTCTGTTGTACCAAAAAAGAAAAACTTTCACAAATGATAACAATGACTGACAAATAAACCAAAATGAACATCATATGCCCTTTAAAATTCCAGCCCAAACCCTTAAAATTATTCTATCAGAAGAGCCCGAGAGCCAAATTATGTAATACTTTTTTGTTCATGCTGTCTTATCAACAACAAGCTTTAAATGATAAAAGATTAAAATATGATTTTATCTTGTCTTCTTATCGAAAACCTTTTCCTAGGAAAGGCTCTAAATTGCATTAAAGTTCCTATCGAGCCTCAAGTAGTCGATCAATTTCGTTCAACTGCCGAATGAACAGCAAAAGCCTTCATAATTAATGATATAAAGTTCCAAGATATGACATAGAGAATTCAAGTCACATAAATTGAAACTTTTCAGCAACATTGTTCTTTTTTGGATCTTTACAAAGTTGACCTTTCTTTCATTACATTACTTTTAGATGTTTGCAAAATAGGAATAAGCTTTTGGACATCTATCTCTGTTCTTTTATCTTTAATGATCTATAGATATTATATAGACAATAAATTGGATGAAAGGATGAATGATTGTTGAATTTCAGTGAACTATGCTTCCTTCATTCAGAGTTTATTGACTCTCTAAAGATTTATATCAAAACTGAAGCAAATTGAACAATCAATGAGCAAAAGAAATTAGATCTCTTGAGATTCTTTAAATAAATTATCAATCAACTTACCTTCCTTATCAAAAGCTTTGTTAAATATCAAAATAAGTATAGAAATCACCAAAACACATCGCAAACTTACTTCCACTTGTTTAAAATTGCTACTGATTTATGTTGAATTTTGCTCAATTAAAGCTTGCTTTGTTAAAAACACAAATCTTTTTGTAATCCAAAAAGAAAATTCTTTAGCATAACATATCTAATCAGTTCTAAGAACAAAAATTACCTGAGCATTAAACATCTTAATCCATAATCTCAAAATTCCTTCGAGACAGAACAAAATAATTGAAACAAAAAAGATTTACAAAATCTTAAAAGATTTTCATCGATATTAAAAAAGTTCAGATATTTTAACGATGATCTTATTTGTAACAAAAACATACCCGCAAGCACCTTAAAGACTCTAAACAAAAAAAAAACTTTAATCCATAATAATACCCATTTGCATATAACATGAAGGAACTTTTATCTAGTCATTATCATGTCAACATTCTGTTTAAAAATGTTAATGAAGAAGAGCCTTCAAGGACTTTCGACAGTACAGAACTTGTTAAAAAGTTACGCAAATGCTTCATTATGTTTATCAAGCATTATAAAATGACACTTCAGATCCATACAATTTAATGACAGGAAAATGAAATGAATAAAGTTTTGAAAAAGTCAATGGATGGCTTTCATGTCTGAAGTAGAGTATAAGTGTCGAAAAGAAAATCGCAAACAATTATAATCATAATTTCATCTATTATCCATCGCGCCAAAAAAAAAGAAATAAAATTGAAGTTTATGTGCCGACATTCAAAAACGATGTAAAATGAATATAAAAAGTTAATTGCTTCCTTTCTATTTCTTCTATGTTCCAGATTAATGAATATTAACAAAAGAATTTAATTAATTTCTCAATATCAGTACATAGACAAGTGTAGAAGAGAAATAAGAAGACATAAATTTCATTTATGCTTGCACAAGCAAAACATTCAAAATAAATTTGTTAAAAAAAAAATTGGAAATCGCAATTTCAAGACCATACATACTGAATACATACAAGAGAGGATTAATATCAAGTTAAGAGAAACCTTTTGTGAGAAAATTTTTTCTCTATGCCATCTGATATCCAATAAGCTTTCGTTTGAAACTATAAACGATCAAAATATATATAACATTAAGAATTATTATCTTATAATAAAGAATAAAGTTTTAAAAAAATGGGAAATTCATCGTCATCACATCAACCACTCGAGCGTGGTTTTACCAGAGGAGGTGGAGTGAGCAATGGTGACATCAAGAATGTGGTTTGTATTCAGATTTCATATCATTTTAGCGCATTTTATTTGTTGGCACAGTGTTCTTGATATCAATTTGTCCATCCAAGTAAGCAATAAAGACGAGTCATTTCCTGGATCTTGGTTTTTCTTAAATTTTTTTGTGAGAATAGAAATTCAAAAAGGGTTCGACTGTTGGTAATTCAATTAAGGATTTTTAATCTTTACTGTACTCATATAGAGAACAGATAAAACTAAGACTTAAAATTAACACCTTTATGCCATAATAAAATGCGCCAAATGCACACTTAATCAACACAATCACGTGCAATCTTAATGTTACGGATGATACCCTTCAATAAGAACATAAAATGAGATTATTGAGAGCATGATTTTTTTTAAGCTTATGGATATTTTATTTCATATGCTTATGAATACATTATTCAACATTATGTAATTTAAAACTCTTTTTTTTTTTGCTTCTTCTTCTTATTTTAGAAATCTTCATCATTTAGGACAAGCAAGCGATTCTCGCCAAAGAAAATGGATCGACTACGTAAATCATTCCGTGATTCATTTCGAAGGCGCAAAGATCGTGTTCCGGAAGCATCAAAACCACATTTATGGCAAACTGATGAACAAGATGTACGTTCTGCAACATGTGCATTTCCAGTAAAGTATCTTGGCTGTGTTGAGGTATTTGAGTCACGTGGTATGCAAGTTTGTGAGGAAGCATTGAAGGTTCTTAGAGTAAGAGAGTTGATTAATATCATGACTTTTTGACTTTTATCTAACTTGATATCTTTTTTGATAATTTTTAGAACTCTCGACGAAGACCCATTCGTGGTCAATTACATGTGAGTGGAGATGGATTACGTGTTGTAGATGACGATACAAAAGGTTTAATTGTTGATCAGACAATCGAAAAAGTAAGCTTTTGTGCTCCAGATAGAAACCATGAACGTGGTTTCAGTTATATTTGTCGTGATGGAACAACACGCAGATGGATGTGCCATGGATTTTTAGCATCAAAAGACTCGGGCGAACGTTTATCGCATGCTGTTGGCTGTGCCTTTGCCGTGTGCTTAGAACGTAAACAACGACGTGATAAGGAGTGTGCTGTCACGATGACTTTTGACATGAAAAATTCAACATTTACACGAACTGGATCATTTAGACAGCAAACAATGACTGAACGATTGGTAGATCCACCGTCAGCAGCTGTTGCTCCACAGCCAAAATCATCTTATAATCCATTTGCTATTGAACGACCACGTGCAACTCCTTCGATGCTGGAACGTCAAGGAAGTTTTCGTGGATTTACACAAATTGGTGCTCAATCTCCTTTCAAACGACAAATGTCATTACGTATTAACGATCTTCCATCCAATGCTGAACGTCAACGTGCATTCCTTGATACAAATGCATCACAGAGATCTGCCGTCTCGCCAATTCCAGAAGTGTCTCCTCAACCGACCGACACAGTCAGTGAACTTTGTAAAGAATTAAGTCAAGGATTATCGATGCTTTCAAAAGATACTGAGAATTTCTTAAATTTTGAAAAATTAGCAAATGGAATTATTGGATCAGGTTCGGTTAATATTCCATCACCACCTTCATATCCAACATCAGTAGTTGCAGTAGCTCCATATCGTCCATTAATGTCATTGCAAAATTCATCTATTCCGATTGGAACAGCAACACCCATTCAACAAAGTATAGTAACAACCGATACATCATTGTCTATTACAGAATCTTACCCAAGGGCATCATCGCCTGCTGTTAATAATTCTCCTCCATCATCACCACCACAAAAGGTTAAATCTATACATGATATATTAACGAATATTAATAATACTTACAACTTTAACCTTATTAATTTCAGATTGTGTCTATAGAAATAGCTACACCGACGCCACTTCCGAAAGCCGAGCAATGGTTAACAGAAATTGTAAAAAATGCATCGCCAGCCCCAAAACGTGCATCACCATTTAACACGCAATCTCGATCGAAATCTCTTGCTACATCTGACCTATTTGATACACAAACAGGAGTGGGAGAATGGGCTAATACATCAACAGTCTCAAATCAATCACAAGGCCCAACATACCACAGCACTAATCCCTTTATATCACCACCCAAACCTATTCAACAGTCGTTTCAAGTTCAATTGTAAGTTTCTTGTTTAGAAAGAAGCATAAAAAAAATTTAATTAACATACAGCAACTTACTTTGCATACATATTATGCTTGATATACTTATCAATGTCGCTTTAAATCCATGCCACATAAAGTTTGTGATATGAAAAATAATATAATAATATTAATATTAATTGATGAATATAAAAAATTTAAATACTACAAGTATTTGTGGCAGTCTGTTCATGCGGATTAAAAGATATTTTTTTTTTCAATGTGTATGGACTCATAGCATGTAAATGAATATGAAAAGTAAAAGAAACTGAAAGTTAAAACATGAATGGGATGTTGAAGATGATGTTGGGCCAATCGTTAAATTGACATGAAGCAAGCAATATTATTAAACTGTTTTATTGAACCTCGATCGATGTGTTGTAGCTTATTGAAAGAAGCAAAAAAAAGCCATTCTACTGAATATGAATGAAATGATGTGTATTGTGTGTTGTGAGGATGACGAAATGGAAAGTTCATTATTGAAGGTATAGATGCGGTTCATATGTGAATATGAATAGTAAAAGTGATAAATGATTTAAATAAGATAGTAGATATTAAGCGTTGAGGATAGTGCGATACGTTGTTAAGCATAAAAAAAGTATATACTAATTGTATTAAAACCATTATTTGAACTCTCAGTTCAATGAATTCTTTAACTATAGTGAAATTAACTAATAAAGACAGAAAAATATCATTAACTAAAGAGCTGTTTCGTTTTGCTGTATTTCGACTTCCCTTCCGTGTTAACCTGATGATAGACTTACTTATTACCTAAACTGCACAAAATGAGACATCAGAATTGTTTCGCTTTTAATCTTGTTTCATTTATCGATTCCAACTATAGTTTTATGATTATTGTAAATAGTCTTACTTAGTTTTACAAGACATTGAACTTATGTACTTAATAAAGCATATAATAATGTGCAATAGAAAGATGATCTTGATTTCATTTGATGCACCAATTAATCATATAAAAAGTTCAATAACGCATTTGTTTACAATGCACGCACGCACCGAAATTCCACGCACTTAACATACTTAGACTGCAATTTATTCTCATACTTAGGCAGGAGAAAAAACATTCAATCTCGTCCAATAGCTTCTGCTTCTCTTGCTGACTTTATTTGTCAAATGTCTAAATATTGCTGTTGTTTAAACATCGAGAATGTATCGTAAAATTTCTTCTTCGAGGACGCTACTCGAGAGTAAACATAATTTGCATATCTGTTTACCAAGTTTCGTAACATTTAGTGACATAAGAAAATTACAGTATTGTTTACAGTTTGAACTTTGATTCCAAGTTTGAGATTTACTTAGGACAAATTTATTTGAATTAAAGAGTTTTGAGAGTTATTTCCAGTTTGAGCAAGTATAGGATATTCTACTTAACATAGAATTATAGGTATAAAGACGTAAGTAAAGTAGCTTAAATCTCAAAATGCTCAAATGAAGTAAAAATAATTTTCCCGCGCAAACTGAATACCAAATTTATAAAGAGCACATAAAGCCTGAACTCTCGAGACACACTTCATAAATTACAGTATGACAGATAATCTTAGATCAATGGTTATCAACCTTACATTATGTTCCGAGCATTAATTCCAGTTATTATGAATGCTGGAATGTCATTGATCTATTGAATCCCATTTAGACATTTGACAATTAAAATGATCGTGAGGAAATGAGAAGTGAAAACATAGAGATTCACACGCAAGAACTCAATTTAAAAGTAATAAACTATCACGTACATTTTATATCGAATTTTTAAGCTTTATTAAAAGAGAAAAATGAATTAATAAAAATAAAGAGTTAAAGATGTATAAGTCGGAAATAATTGATTTATTGACACAAACATAACTGAAGTAGATAATTATAATAAGGAATGAGATAACTAAATGCATACATATCATTTATTTTACACACTATTATTAATAACAATATACACTATTTAAATAAATTTATCTATCTACATAGTAGATAATTATTATGAGAAAATAAATACCTTGAGATCAAATTATTTTTATGACTGCAAGTTCGTACACACTTTCTTAAATTTCAAAAAAAAATAAAATAAAGCGTAGAAATAGGGGATATGTTGAACTGTCTTCTTTAAGGTAATCAAAAATTCATAAAAAGTTATGTTTTGAAAATATAACAGTTTCCCGAGGTTTGAATCTTTTTTTTTAAAAAAAATCCAATTTTTGAGTAGGTTAACGTATTTATTCAAAGTTCTTTAATTCTATTGTATTTAAGACAGATTGTCCAGGTTTTAGATTCAACAGAATTCCTCTAATAACTTATTCCATCAACCAGCAGTCCCCCTTTCGAGAGCTGCCAAGAGCAACATACGCTAGAATTTAATATAAACTGAAAAAAATTAACACAAAAAAAAGACGATGAATTTGTATTTTTAATGATAATGAGACGACGATGAAAATTTTTATCGCAAATAAAAGCAAAATAGAAATCATATGAGGTAATGATAATAATTAATAACGGAAAAAAAGAGGTGAAGGATGACTGATGCATTAAGTATGCATAAAGAAAAGAGATATTTTAGACGGTCTATCAAGAAATTCGCAGTAATGATGATGATTAGTAAAAATTTACATTCCAAATCGCGAAATAAGAATGACGAAATAGCCAGAAAAGTGTAAAATTTTTGATTGTAAAGTCCTGCATAGAAGAATTTTTGCTTCTGCTGTATGATTTAAGAAGAAAAAAAAATTATAATTATTGTACATTAAATTGCCTTGTTTATAAAATAAAAATGATTATACATAAATATATACATATTAATATAATAAAATATTATGAAAGAAACGTAATAATGTATAGAGATAAAATGCTGTAATAAATGAAAAGATTAATTGATTATGAATGAAAAACGAAAAACAAAATCCACATGGAACTTAATTGTTGCTGTAAGGGGCTCGACACTTGGAGACTAAAAATTCAATATCTTTTAATTTGATTATCATTTCTTTTTTGATTCGCATTCAACCATGCCACACTTGACTGCACACCATAAAAAGTTCAACCTTGATTAACAAAAATTTTTTTTTTGATGTGTCTCAATGAACTCTGATCGCTTACATTTATTACCCTTTTAATATATCTAAGACATTTTAATTCCAATTTTTTAATCACCTTGAATCAAATTTTCATTAAGTTTTAAAATGATCGATTGACTTATAAGAAGTCTTGTAACATTTTATTTGGGATCGGTTAAAGGTTACAAATGCATTTTTAAGATTTTTGATTGACTTTTAACGTGAACTTGAAGGCTTTGAAGAATTAAAATACTATAATAGTTTTTAACAAATGGTGGAATTAGATGAAATTTTGTTAAGAATGTGACAAACGGTGGAATCTTGGGACGGTATCATTAAATAAGCTCCTCGATAAAATTCCTAGAGATTCCATTCTTTAGAATAGAGGAGGTATCATTGAACAGAACTAAGATCTACGAGGGTTAGCAACGATTTAAAGAAACACAAATGTTTCGATTTCTGATGTTGCAGTCCAAAGTGATGAGAATTTCTTCATTTTTCAAAAGGCGCCAGTTGATTGGCAGCCTTTAAATGGAGATCCTTAAAATCTACTAAAATTCTCTTATTAAGTTTCAAAATAAATTTTACAGTTTAACTTCCGAAGAAAACTTGTAAAATCTAAAAGAAGATTTCCTTCAAACTAAAAGCCTGAATAAACGCTTAACATGATTTCAACTCACAGTCAATGCCCCCTATTGACTCATAAAATTTTCAGCTCGTAAAATGCAAAACCGCAGATCAATCATCACATTAAAACTTCATTGGTATTTTTATACAGAACAGGAAATTTTGATCCCAATTCCAACAATTATGAATGAAATTTTTAATCTCCAAAATTGTCTTTCCTCTAACATTCACAGACAAGATATGACCAATTAAAAATCGAATTATTGCAATGATTTAAGGCCAATCAATCATTGGATTGATCAAAAAAAGATATCTGATTAAAACTTAACTGAATGCTTAAAAAAAATGTTGAAAGCAAAAACAAAATTTATGTTGAAAAAAAAATAAAAATAAAAAAAAACTATTAAAAATTTTAAAGTAACGTCTTGTGTCGATTGTGATTACTTACAGCTGTCCATGATTTTTAACCTATCCTAAAATACTCAATAATACAGGAAAAAGGTGAGAGGTAAGTAGTGTGCACGTGTGAAAATGAAACAGCAAAAAAGCTCAGCACGGAAGAGAGCTTTTACAAGTTTTTCATGTATATCAGCCCAACCTTAGCAATGTCTCATGTACAATTTCAAAATAAATCATATTCCGATTGACAGCAATCACCTGATATTGTGAAAGAATTTCAAAACGAGTTTTGGTATAAATGTTAAATGAGTGTGGATTTTTTTTTTCACTTTATTTTTCATCTTTTTTTGTTACAATTAAATTTTTCAATATGTATCCCAATCTTATAAACTAGTTAGCAAATGAGCCTTTTTCTATTTTTTTCATTTTTTTATTTTTTGAGGGGGTTGTTCATCAATTACGTCTAGTGAGTCTAAATTATTAAACATTTCATACATGTGATGTGGGTGGGTTATCAATTCTAGATAAACGTCATTTAGGAACAACCCCAATTTATATGGTTTAATTACAATCGTAATTTTACTCATTCAACGACGCAATCAATTGTCTTATTTATATCTTTATCTCTTCTTCGTCTCATTCGTCGTTGTCGTCTTTTTCGCACTGTTAATGATATTATGGCATTTTGCAAACACCATTTTTCGAGGAGATGATGAAAAAAAAACTTTCTAAAAAATTATATTATTATAGAAAATGGCTCAGCTTATTAAACTTCGGTAAAAGAACATTTTTTACAAACGTATAAAAATACATTTTTTATGTATATTTTCCCAGACTTGGAGTCTTTGGGGTACTGGGTGGATTTTGGGGGTAGTTATGAACACAGCAAAACATAAGAGCATTCATAGTCACCCTTGAATCACCTCCCTAAAGCTATCCAAAGCTCCCAGGTCTGGATTTCTTCAAATAACTTGAAATATGACTTAATTTGAATGTGTTGTTGTTGTTGTTGTGCGATGCAGCATAAAATATTATGCATATATGCAAACATAGAGGGTAGATTAAATGATCATTCTATAGACTGAATATAGCATATAACTGAGTAAAGCTATAAGAAAAGCTTTTGTTGTCTGATGCATCCAATAGAGCCTAAGTATACGTGACAATGAATGAGAAAGAGAGACAATTTTTTAACACAATATTAAGCTATGTAATTATCCACCATTACCTTGTCCATTTCTTCCTCGCTTCATCTACATTGGAAAGGTCGTCTTTAAACAAATACATCCGCATACCGATCATGTAATGACTAATATATTCATCCCATTTTAATGTCGACATATCAAAGGGAAAAAGTTCTTTATCCCCGCTGTTTAAATTACTCCAAAGCTTTTGAACATTATCATTTGTAAATGTCCACTCATTTGTACAGAAAAATGAAATGACATTTGCAAATTTGTGTATCTTCTTGTAAGTTTTCAGCAATCTGCACGCACATTCGTGTTTTATTTTGGTTTGTTTGGAAAACATCGAGCATGAAAACAAATTGGATTAATAATATTAATTATTAGATAAAGTCACAACGAATGTAACCTTCATGCAATCATAAACGAAAGACAATGAAAAAGAGGAGAAAGATCTGTTCCTTACCTTGGTTTTTTGCCAATGCATATTATAATAAAGTCTATCAGCAATGCCGGTATTATATGCAAAAAAACTGTGTACAACTTATTCACAAATGCAGACTTATTCATAAAAAAGCAAATATACCTAAATGGGAGAGTAGATATACGATTAATTATAGAATTGACTTGTTTCTACTTTATTTCTTTTCATACAAGACCTGATCTTGAAACGGTAAAGAAAAAGTTTCTTTGAATTACTCACATGAGTGGAATTTGAAAAGTTCAGGCGAAAGTGAGGCAAGCAGTTCAAGGAAAAATCAACGGAAATTCGCGTCGAATTGTTTACAAAAAAATTATGAATCATTTATCACATTTCAAGATGTTTCTGTTAACTTGTTATGCAATGTTACGCAACGATAAGCCCTATTGGAAATAGTAAAAACAAAATCTGACTGATTTGATATGAAAATCAATGTGATTGTCTTGGTGTTTGTCTTGGTCAAGACAATTTTTGAGTCAGATCTGTTTATGATAAGCAAACATCTCACCTAGGCAACGAGTCGTATTCAAGGTGTTATATGATCTTTACAGATTCTAACACCAGAAATGCAAACATCTAGATTCTAAACAAATTTTAAGGCCAAATGATTAATCAAATCTCAAGATTGAGATTAAGATCCAGTTTAATAAACCACTTTGATAGTAAACTTGTGATTAAGTCCCTCCAATCTAGCATAATGTCTAAAGATTCCATAAAAAATCATACCTATGTTCTGCCTTCTGAGGTATCTAAACTTAAGCTTTTCTTGTCTGGTGTCTTTGTTGCATTATTTAGATCTGAAAAATCTATAATGACCTAGACATTTAGGATAACAAAGAAAACAATTTCACGACGTAAAAGAAACAACACTCGCTAATCCAATAGATTCAAAATGCATAAAACAACATGAAATCCTGTTGCTTAAATAAAGCACAATGGGGGGCACAATAAAATAATAATCTTCCATTTTTGAGGTTATGTTTTGTGTAAAGAAATTAACTTTTAAGCTTGTATGAAAAGATTTAAAGGAATAATATGTAAGATTACAAACCATAAAAGCATTATAATTACCATATTGCACTACTAAATGGATATATAAACCCATATCTCATATTTAGCTCTGTAAATTCGCCCCATTTCAATGGATTTTGCACGGATGAAACATAGTTGTAGATTGGAATGTCACATACATCTTTCTCAGCTTCGCTTGATCTCTTCTCAATTTTTTTATTTGCAACATCGTATGCCGATACAATCAACGCGTTCACCTGAAATAATACAGCAATAAAAGCGACAGTTAAAATCACTGTTTATTGACGCTACAACTACATAAAGCTCAAAAAGATTCACTCTTAACATTAAGTAATGAATTTAACAATCGACAGAAAAAAAAGAAAACAAAAATAAAAGAAATGTAATTTCTTCATTTTTACATACCGTCATATCCACTGGTACAATATTCGCATTGATATTTTTGTCGCAATGCCTAAAATTACGTATATATTTCAGTAAACATTAACGACATCTCATTAATGATGATTTCACTCAATTCATCATCATCAATGTGACTACACAACAAGTAAGTAAACAAAAAATTGAATGGAATTAAGCTTACATAGTTCTGAGAACTCCTGAGCCAGCACCAGCAACTAAAGAAATTGAATTAGCAAAGAATTGATTTAATTATCATGTCAATGGTGTATCTTATAATCCAGCCAGACTTACCGACACCTGTGGGTCCATAAAGATTGTCAATCCATCCTTTGATCGGTTCCTTTGATGTTGAGGTAACAATTGCAGGTCGAAAAACTCCAACTGGCATATCAGCACATTCATTTTTGACTAAATCTTCTGCTAGAGCTTTCGTAAGTGCTAAAATATTTTTAATGCCAATTAGCTACGCAAAAAATTTAAAACTTTTTAATGAGGAACTTACTGTATGTATTGGGCCATTTATCGAGAATTCTGCCAATTAGGAAAGATAATTAAAAAAGGAACATTAATCCAGTTTAATAGGCAGTCGTTTAGGAATAAAGTCTAGTATTTAATGGTATAGTTCAACATGCATATTTTCCAATAGATGCCTTCAGAAGTTCGTTCACTTATGACGACTTAAAACAACAAACTTCTTCAGACACAAAACCCCCATGGACATGGAAAAGTAAACGACACCTAAGGTCAATCGTTAAAGGTTGAACTTACTTTGGTGTTATTTCTTCAATTGCACGCGAGTCCAATTTTGAAATCATATTATCCAAGTGATCATATCCGATTGAGTAATCGTAAAATTTCTCCTCCACAGTATCGAGATGACAATTTGAGTATGCGGTTGATACATGAATGAAACACTAAGAGATGAATAAAAAATAGAGGTCGGCGTTTATATTATAATTGACTTTGAAAAATGTGTCTGACAGTGTAGCAAAAAAAAAGAAAGAAAGAAAGACACATGCAAATATTTAATGAAGGTCAAAGATTTTTTATATTTACTTTCAATTGTGTCATCTCCTTTCCCAACTGTATAACGTCTTTTGTGCCATGCACATTAATATCAACTGCAAGTTTTAGATTCTCATCAAATTTAATTGTTGCTGCTGCATGAAAGATGACATTTATATTCGAAATTAGCGTTTGTCTATCAGTTAATGATAAACCCAAACCAGCAATTGAACAATCACCAGAAATGGTCACGATTTTATGACGAAATTTCGGAACAGCTTCGCGGAGTTTATCAAAGAGCTAAAAAAATAAAGATATAAGGTAGTCACGTTATGCAATTGGACATTGAAACTTGAATTTCTTTTGCTATTAAAATATTACCGGATCGTCAAATAACTCCTCGATTCGTGTGTGTATGTCTTTGCCTTTTTTCTTTCTTATCAGCAAGTAAATATTCTCAATTCCTGGACATGTGCGTAGGAGTTTGTCAATTAAAACTTTTCCCATAAAACCTAATTATCATGTTTAATGGATGGTTGCGTATCATTTTCATTTAATCGTATGACATGAGGAAGAAAGAGAGGCAGAGATTTTCAATAATTAGTAATATTAAACAGTATAGTATTCATATCTTTGTCGTTGTTAGCTATTACTTCACAGCTTTGTCAGTAAGTATGTGTTCAATAAACTATATTTCAATATGTGACTATTTATTGTGTCACTGTTAATGATGTTTAAATAATTTTTTTTGTCAATTCCATTTTTCTGTTGTTTTCTTTTCAATCAGAAATAAAAATGAAATACTTTGCAATTTTTTTTCATGTTCGTCGTTGCTGTTTTTGCGTTGTACAAAAAAAAAAGTTTAATGTCGTCTTAAGCTAGTGCAAATATGTTAAAGTATGCATATATTGATCACCTGTTCCACCTGTGATGAAAACATTGGTTCCATTATAAAAGTTTTGAATGGCGGTAAAATGCGAATCAGTTTTTGCTTCGTTCATATTTAGGTCAACAGTATTTGTTTGGCACGGCGGCGTCATTTCATTCGTTTCTTATGTATTTGAGACACAATTTTTATTTATTTATTTATTGTTTAAATGCCTTTACACAATCTACAAGAAAGAGAAGAGAGGAGGAAAGCAGTTTAATATCGGAGGCGGATGAGCTTGTTGTGCATAATTATTGTCCTAGCTCAACAATTTTCTTTCAACTTCTTACAAGACCTGATTGTCCCTTGAATAAAAAAAAATCAAACCTAATTTCCTTAATTCAAAAGACACTTCCCTTGCATGAGAAAGGAAGCAGATATCGTCAAAAAATTCAATCATCTACATCTGACAATGACTTTAACCTTTAAATTCCTATCGACAGGACATAACCCACTTTAAAAAATTTTGTTTACAAATGTTATATCATCAAGCATCTTAATTAACATCCAGAGATATGCAACTGAGATACTAATACAAAAGTCAAGTAAGACATAATGCATGACATAACAATCAACAATATTCTGTAAGATTCACACTAATGCGAATACTGTGTAATATCAATAAATTCATCAATACACAAAATAAGCATGTAAATAATAACGCAATTAATCTTGCGTATGTGAAATGGAAGAGAAATGAAAGAGATTCGAGAATGGATCAGTGAAAATGAAACTTGTTGAATTTCGACATATGTGGCACCGATCTTAACATGTGTTCATTTCACTCTCACTTGACATTCTCTTCTTAAGAACGATAGTTACTTCTTTCGGTTATTTAGGCATGCCATGATGTTAAGATAAATGGTACGTGGAAAATAAAAGTGTTTGGCTACAATTTCTTAATCTCAACATTACGTACGACTACGTGCATATTCAAACAAACAAGTTATAGTGCAAAATATCTTTAAACTTCACTTCGGTTTGCAACACACATTCAAAAGAAAGTGAAGAAAAATAAATTGTACGTAGGTTCAATGAAACATTGAGAAATGCTTAATTAAATTACAAATCTTCAAGAGATAATTTTCTACAAATATCATGAATGAATAACACTTCAACTATCGGTGGCTCTCTTTCTCTGCATCATATACACACATGTAATAAAAGTAGTAATATAAGGAACTGGCATGGAGGTATACCAAAAATTAAATGGTTAATTTTTTTTTTACATAATAACCTACTTTGGATATACTTTACTTACACATATATATCTCTATACCGAAAAAAAAAGATACAGCTCTTTTATGAATAATTTTATTACATTAATTTTTTTTTAACCGTTTTCTCTCTTTTTTATTGTATTCAATTATGTAACGATACAAAATTTTTGAAAACTCCTCAACACGACTCAAAAAAAAAGTACGTCTTTTTTTCTTTCTTTTCTGTACAAGCGCGTAGATATGATGCGAGATGTGAGTGGTAGCAGAGCACACAGTCGATAGTTATGTGAGAACAGTAATTGAATCTGTTGACGCTTGGTTTTATCAGTTTCAAATCACTTTGTGAATTTCTTGTTCAAAACAAAAAGTTATGCTACTTTTTGCATTATTTTGCTTTTCTTTTACTTCTTATTCTTAAAACTTTTCACTCACTCACTCACTTGGTATTTGGGTTTCGCGTTTAAAGACGATTTCTATTTTTTCCTCTTTTTTTTTTCTTCTGATTTATTATTTATATTAATATAAGCACAATTTAATTTCACTCGAGACTATATTCTTATAACAAAAATCAACACTATCAATTATTTTATCAAAAAAAAAGAAGCTAGCAAGATTAAGAAAATGAAAATTCACTTTAGGTCACGTTGCTTAGAATATTTTTTTTTCTTTTTTTTTCGTGTGCTGTTACATTCAATTTGATGTGCCACACATAAGTGCTACTTTATTATAAAATCAAATAATTGATATTTCCGCTTGTGACGCTTTGATCAACCTCCGTCCGTAGCTCGCAAAAACGCACTTTATACTGTAACACTCGAGCATGGAATGCTTGATAAATTTCAATATAGTTTTTTTGGAAATGTTTTCTCTCCTCTTCAGGCTTTTTTTTTTTTCAGCTCCAGCTTATTATTCCCCTTCCAAAAAAAAACAATCACACAATACTCAACGAATTTAAGTTACTCACAAAAAAATATATGTATACACAGCATCACAAACTATCTTGTCGTCCGTATTTTATATTGTCACATGTACGTTTTTATATGCTGGGAATATCCATAATATGATCAAAAATATCCCTTTGACGAGCGATTCTGATCCGGGAATTGAATCCCAAATTTATTCTTAATTATTCACTAATCAATTATTGACTATTTTTTACATCCAATAAAATATGACACTCCTTTTTATCGTTTAAATAAATGACTACATTTTTTGCAGCTATCACGAGTGTTTACTCTCTGCCGTGTACTTTTCTGTGTACTGGGCTTATGACTTGCTCTTAGTCAATCTTATCAGTGTTGTTTCCTAGACTGTATGGCGTTGGAAATAAAACTTTTTAAACTGTTTGCAATTCGGACTTAATTGTCATTTTTTTGCTAATTACATCTTAATTGAAGTCATAATTAAATCATCATTAACATATTAAAAACTTCAATACGATGCATTTTGTTTGGAATCCTTGAGATCAGCCAATTGAAGGACAAATTTTTGGAAACTTTATTAATGAAATTGTTAAACAAGAGAAGTTCATCTCAGCTTTAAATAAAAGATTATTATATTAATTAACTTTTGAAATACATCTTTACTTGGAAAGCTCATTGAAAAATGTGAAATTCGCAAACGGTTTTATCACGGTTGACGTGACTTGAATTTTGTATGTAAGTAGCGAATATCGGGTTTTATAAACTTGAAATTATGGACGTTCTATTTACTCAAAGTAAATCCAGTTATAAACTCTATTTTAAAGTTAATTTCAAAAATCTTAAATTAATAAGTTTAGGATCCATCCTTTTTCAAGTCACAGGTATATGAATTTATCTGAAGAATGTCACACAAGAAATAAAGCTTGAAGAAACTATTATGCTCAAATAACAGTTGATCCTAAGAATTTAATCGATATAATTGCATCACGATACTGTGCTTTTTTCTCTTATTTTCAGATAGAATGCAGAATCAGCTGATAACAACACTGGATTTGATTGATGATAAACTCTAATCTTCAATACAGTCATACGACATAAGTTCACTTTACATTTTTTTTTAAATTCTTTTTATAGATAGGAACGAAAGTAAATCCGAAAGAATTTCAGCTCCATAAATTATGGAAATATCTCTACATATTCATTCTTTTCTCTTTCCTCATCTTTTGTATATATACATTTTTTTGGATTATGATAAAAGCATCAAACAGAGACAAAAGAAGTCAAGAGAGATAGAAATATTAAAACTGTCACACATCTACCTTATTTACTATACATTCTGTAATTTATATATTCTTTTTTTGTCTTGTGATGCTAATAATCCAGTTCAAAGACTCCTAAATTTTGTCATCATTAAACCCAATTCTTCTCCCAAATCAATTATCTACTTACATCATAGAATCTCATGTCCGAATGTCTGACTGGATAGAATAAATGAAACTCTTTTTTATTAAAATGCTAAAACTAAGCAAACAAAAAAAACTATTTTCGGAGGAAATTAATTATAAAGCTCTAATTGAAGACAGCACTTTAGCAACTGAGTAAGGAACAAGAAAAAATGGTTAGATTTCTTCGTTCGACTCGATTACGCTCAACTTTTCTATGTTCCGTCCGGTTTTTTTCAGTAGGTTAGTAAGAATGAGTAAGTTAAAGTAATTTTATTATACTGAGAGTTTTTACTTTACTTCTTTCTCCCCTTTCTTCCATTTTCATTTTCTTTTTCATGTCGTCGCGCGTCTTTTACGTTTCTTTCTTTCATTCATGCTCTTGATTTCACTCAATGTACTCAATTCGTTCTCGATCGACCGTTTAATGCCGCTACATATGCATATATGAAGCAAGCGTACTTAATACTGAATAACAAGCATCTTAAGCGGATGCACTCGAAAATTCACCACACTAGTGCATCATCCTTAAAATTTATTGGATTCATATTTTACTCATGATTTATGTCTTCAAACTCTCTTTTTTCTCCTTCCTTACAATTCTTTATATTTTAACCTTGGCATGTATCATTGCATTCATTTACGCATAATTCATTCACAGATTTCACAGATTAGTGTGATAAAAGTTCAATCTGTGAATGAATGTTGGTGCTATACTTATAAGATCAGACAAAAGCTCTCTATAAAGCTCTCATAATAGCCGTTAATGTCTTCCGTGCGTATTATTGAGCATTATATCATTGACCATTGTTACGAAATATCATCTCGATATCTTTAGTGCTTGCTCTCTCAACAGCTGATTAATAGATTGATTTGTATACAAACCTCTTAACTATGTTAATGACCCACATAAACTTAGTAAACACTAAATTTCTTCTTTCAACTCTGCTTCTTCTTCTTTTCAATGATTTTTTTCGATTTTTTTTTATTTTTTTTTTTTTTAATAAAATATTTAAAGTCCTTCTTTTCAGACGCTTATCTCTTTGCCTCAGTAGTTAATTAAAAATTAAAAATTAAAGCTTAATTGAATTTCTATTGTTTAACTTTACAAGCTGCAGATTAGAGTGTTTTAGCAGAGATTTTCGTGGGATCCGTGTGGTATTTTGTTGTAACATCTTGAGAACATTTTAGGTTAGGGATCTGTATGGATCATTCAATTGAGTATCATAAAAATAGTTTAAATATCAATAAAAAAAAAAATTTCTACTCACCCCCCCCCCCCCCCCTCTCCATACTTAATTTTTATCATTTTGACATAAAGGAGAAAGACTCCTGACATAACCTCAACAGGACATGAGGTTATAAAAGTAAATCTTCATGCATGTCACCTACCTTTTACATTATAATTTTTCAAAAGCACTTCATGTACATTGCATGTGATTCATAAAATAAAGTTTGACGTTAAGGTAATACCTTTTTGAACATTTTTAAAGTGTGGAAGTTTTTGAATTTCCTTCATTTGTCGTTATTATTTAATTTAAATATTTCCGAGATGGTCAAAACATGATTTTTTTGCACCTTTTATCTGCTTGAAAAAAATTCAAATTTAAAAAAAAAACGTTATTTCAAGTCTATGGAAAAATTACAAAATTTTAAAATTTTAGCAATTTATTTGCATTTTCAAGACATTTAATTACCTTTTAATAAGAATTTTAGATATTAAAAATATTGAAAGTACTTACTTTGTCAATCAATGGCATTAAACTTTAAAAATCAAAATTTTTTAAGAAAAGTAAACATGCATCAGTGAGGAATTGTGTGTAACGGTTACGTCTCAAGCAATAAACTGTAAAAAACATTAATTAACTGTGTTAAATGACAGAAAACTATTAACAATTGTGTAAATTAGTGAATAAGAGTCAAAAATCTATCAAACTAGTTAAAAATCTGTGCCAAAAAAAGTGTCAAAAAGCAAAGAAAACTTGAAAATACAAAAATCAACAAACAAAAAATACCGACAAAAATACAATTTTATTAATTAAAGTGAAAAAGTGAAAGATTAGTGACAATTTAAGTACAAATTAGATAATTTAAGTCTAAGAGTAAACAGAATAAATAAATCTAGAAGTGATTAAAGTGGAATTTGTAAAAAGAAAAAGAATTTATTAGATTTTTGAAACATTCAAGCCAGTCAAGGATGGGGACTTCAAAATTCGTGCATCAAAGAACTTTATAAAGGTATTTAAAAACGCATAAATAAGGAATAATTAATTAAGAGCAGGAAAAACGAGTTTGGGACATGTTCCTACTCTTAGTTGTTAGACATGTCCAAGAATTCAATAAGTCTCGAATACCTATATTTGATTTAAGTAAAGTTTAATATTAATAATTTTTTAAACAAAATTGACACCACCTTAATGAGATAATAGGTTTCATGTTTGACTAGGCAAATCTAGTTAAAAGTAAATTTTGATTCACTTCTATAGTAATGTCTGTGATAAATATTTGCATTTAATAGTAGATCGACAGATGACAACTCAGTTCATATTCAATTATGAAAAACTTTAAACTCAAAACTCAACAAATCTTTTAAAGAGATTTTAAATCAAATTCAAATTTTGATTTAACTCATTTTAATTCTTTCCACCCTGTTCATTAATTAAATAGCGGGAATTTTTTAAATAATATCTAAGAGTGTTCATCCTAAAAAGCAGTATAAGCATGTATAATAAACGTTATGTTAAGCTATAAACTATAGTGAAAAAAAAACAATAGAGAAAATATATACGACAAGAGAGTTATCAGATGTTAATATTTTTGTTAATTTCATTGTTAAATAAATTTAACATCCAGAATACATGAAAGGATATACGAGAACTAAGAATCATGTAATATTTGTAAAGTCGAAAGACGTGAAATAATTGTAAGTTATTTTTATAAATCCGTTCTAAAATTAGATTCATTCAGATTTTCATTCATTTGATATATTTTTGTGTATATATGATATTTCGTAATATCAAAAAAAAGAAATAGTAATTCAAACAAAGTTTAATTTTAACAAGTTCATCAAACTCAATAACAGAAACTTAAATCGTTAATTGATATAATAAGAAAAATCATTAAATATTTTCATCTGCAGCTATACAATTTACTCAATTCTTATTTATACTTCCATTATTTCATCTCTTATGCTCGTTTTTTTTTTTATTTTCATTTCCAAAAATAAGAAGAAAGACACACAGTCATTTAAACAAAAGTTTTCGAAAGTAAGCAACTTTGGTGTACTCGACCTAATTCTTCTAGTTTTCAAACTTTTATTTCTAATATTAAATTTTTTACACTTAATTATATAATTCAATCATTCGACGCTCATGAAATTTGCTTTTGTGGCTAGTAAACAAACCATTGATCTCTTCTCGTTTTAGGTATATCCAAAAAAAAAATAATATTATTAACATTCAACAAGGAACGGATAAACATTCATCAATTGCGAAGTTAAGGTAAACCATGTGAACTTACTGTTCCTTATCAATAAACTACCGAAGGCAAAAAAATTCGTGGTAAAAGTGATTTCAATGTTGATTAAAAATAGAATCACATCGATCATTATCTTTACTGCCACGAGAAACAATAAAACTAGATCACATATAGTCAGTTGTTAATGTCGCAATGTGATATCAGCCTTTTGCGTACAAAATACGAAATGATAATATTTGATAAATGAGACAATATAAAGTCATACGTCAGATTACTTTAAAGGAAATTCCTTCACACTCCATTCAGTAATCAGTTTGATTCATCATTTTATGCTTCATACTTTTCATATATGATTCAATTAAAAAAAACAGAATGACTGAATCGCTCTCAAAATAATTTCTGACCTGATGCATATTAGAACCTTTTTTTATTTGGAAAAAGAGATAAATTTAAATATTTTGGTGACATAAATCTAGGTCATAAAAATTCTTCAGTTAAACTGAGATAATCGTTCAGATCATAAAAATCCGTTCAAACTAATAGTCGTGTTTAGTGTATCCTAAAATAATAACAAATTAGTTTATTGCTGTACGTTCGCAAAAAATAAGAAGATGAGAAAATTATGAATATAAAGAAGACCAACGTGTAGAAGATCAAAAAAGCTAGTGACTAATTTAAATCGATTGACGTAAGCGCATTTTTTGAAAATATAATTAGTGAAATGTGATAAGAATGTTGATTACTATCAAATTATGATAATAAATGGTAAATTCACCGATCAGAATTTTACTGAAAATGGATAAACTTGATCAACGCCTTATCTGTGATTAATGGTTCTGTCCCCGGACTTCTGACATTGATAAAGAATGCATTTATAATGTTGATTGATAAATATTAAGTTTATTCATAGCATTCAGTGTGGGGAGTTTATTTTGAGAGGATATGTCATTGAAATTTGTGATGATAAAGTTTAAAAGGAACATAAATGTTTCATTTGATTCTTATTTTGGATGATAATTGCCTTTAAAAAAGTGATTATTGAATATGTCGGGTTGTTAACGTTTTAATTAACTTAAATTAAGACATCAAATGCGTGTATTGGTGCATACTAATTTATTTATCAATTTAATCTTAGATTTTTACAAATTACTGGTCATTTTTGAATTTATAAACATGCGTCACGATCAAAAACTGTTGGATGGTTTTGGTTTAACATATTTTTCAAATTTCAAAAGTCCGTTAAATTTTCCCAGCTTTATTTTAGACAGTCACTCAAATATTGACAAAACCTGACAAACCGCCTATTTTTGTAAGGTTTCACGTATAAAATGATTCAAAAAATTATTATGCCTCACTGCTCATGTAATTCAACAACGATTCGGTCGACCAGTCAAAATAAAAATTATGACACATCATGTACCTCTCATAAAACCTTAAACGATTCTCTATTTAACATGTTCAAAGAGAGAACGTTCTGAGCCTCTAATTCTCACATCTGTCTATCGTGAAAATGAAAATAAAAACAAAACGAGTTGAATGTAAAATAAAAGAGGTTTAGGTCTCAGTTCATTACGTCGCGATCTATGTAGTAAGAGCCAATGTTTGCGGATCGCCAAGGTTTCATAAATCAAACATAAGTCAGTCTTCTTCTTGTATCACGACCGTAGTGTACAGCAGTGCTTAGCACTTTTTTAATACTTATTTTATAACCATTCATACATGCATGAAAGTTGAGTTTACTTTTGCGAATAAATAAATGTGTGTTGTGAATGTATTAATTTAAGTTCAAATGAACAATATATAAAAAAAAAAAAATAATGGAAAGAAGAAGAAAACTCATTTGATTTTTCTACAATACTATGGCAAATATTGTATAAGTGGGCTTCAGAGTGGCATTTTCATTTTCATTGTAATATTAATAATTTTTCAATGTGTGAAGTAAGTTACCTTTTTTGGTTTACGTGAGGCTCTGCACATTTAGTCATTAAATGGTTGCATTTTGAGAAGGAACGGTGAACTTATAGGTTCAGTTTTGTATTGATCGCCATTAGCATTTGACATAATCATAAAGTATAAAGAAGAAAATTCATGAAAATGTGCAAAAACACAGATAATGTAAATAAAAAATATTTTTTTTTTTTTTTGGTTTTAAGTTTATGATCGTGACGAAAGATTAGCGTGGAAATTTTTTAATTTAATTTTTTGTTTCTGGATCTCATTTTAGGATCGATTTTTATCGATGTTTTCTCCCAACGTGAAAGCTACCCTTGAGAAGCATAGCATTGGAGTACCACCAAGCTTATACATACCAAAACAATATAATGATGCGTCGACCGTGACAGGTAAGCGCCAGATCATCACTTTTTCTTCTTATTCTTCTTTGTATCCTTCGTATGCAGTCCCTTTATGAGTCATCAGCAAAAGTCTAAAAATATGATAATAATGCTCATAAAATAAATCTGCATAAATCAAGAAAAAGGATGCAGAAGAATAATTTTTGAGGATTTTCTCTAAATTTTTTGTTTTTCTATTTGTGCATTCATTAGATCTTTGTAGTTCAGACGCAGATGAGGTCGAGATATTTTCCCTTATTGAAGAGCAAATACCAAAATATAAAGTACGAGCGTGCAAGATAACAAATTTCTCTGGCACATCCAATCAAGTAAGTATCTCACGTAGCCCAAACAATCATGTCAATCACAACTAATTTGCTGTCTTTTTCTCTTTTCAATTTTTTTTTTGTTTATATACAACTTGAAATTGTCAACAGGACTTTGAGTTTGTCAAATTCCCCGCATTGAATGTCCCAGAGAACATCGGTCTCGGCTTAACATCCGATCAAATTAGGGAAACTTTAAATTATTTCCGTGAGTATTTAAATTTATGATTATTGCTTGTGTATGATCATTTCTTCTTGTTATTTCATCATCATGTTCTTAAGTTACCAAGTGAACTGTATATGATTCTGTATGAATGTGTGACTTATGAATATAATTGTGACTGTGTGTACGATGAAACCGCAAAACTGTTTTGTAGATGTGGTTACTCATGAATCGACAAAAGCGCATTTCACTCGTATTAAAATTATAAGGATAGCAATGGGAGTTAAAGTGGATTCTAGTTTCAAAACAACGACTGAAAAATATTTGAAAAATAACGGTTATGAAATATTTGAATTAACATAAATTTTAAATTGAAAAAATACGCTAAAAGTTTGAATAGAATTTAATTCATTTTTTGGGAGTAAGCCTGCAATTTTTGACCTAATATACAATGTGTTAAACGAAAATAAACAGATTAGTAGCTTAATAAAGCAATACTCGAACAAAGTGCGGTCAGCGACGTCATTCTCTTGAGAAAATGGGCAAAACATACGAAATAAGTAAGAATCCCGTGACTAGTGATGTTATCTGACTCAATTTCTTCATTTCCTTTGAGAGTTTGTCGAGCGCGCGGCTGATAAGAACTCGATAGAATGGAAAGTAAATGGAGAGTGAGTAACATTCTCATTTTTAAGCTCTTCAGAAGGCTGAGAACGTCATAGAATAGAGAATGTTAATGTAGACTAAACGATGTGTGCGCCGCTCAGTATGAATCGCTCTACGAAAAGTGCACACATTTAAAACTTTGACTAAAAATAAACATACTAAAATTTTTTTTCTTCTCTTCTTTTATATTTTCATTGATATAATGAAAAACGAAAACCTTGGTTCAGTATTCGTTAGACTATCAATTATAATGTTTATATGATTTTAGTAAAGCTTGAAAAAAAAAATTTCTATTAGTGAAAAACGCGTGTGAAGTGATCAACTATCAAAATATTATCGCGAAGCCATAAAAAAAGTGCGATAATGAGAACAGTTTGAAGTTTGTAGTAAAATTGTTTCATCCAATCAACTTCTTAATTCCTTCAATTGACGCTGTTCATTGCGCTAATTATGCAGGATCGCTCATCGACTATTTGGAAACAAATCACTTTACTCTTCTTTAAACAATGTTATTTTTGGACTTAAATAAGCGTTACGCAAACTAGTGCTTGTTTGCGGATTTTTCTTCATCATTTTCCCTTTAAAATTTTTCAGTTCACACGAAAATAAAAAACAGTCACGAAATTTTTTGTTCGTTTAATAATTGACTTGCTACACATTTATAGGATGATACAGCTCTTGTAGAGACAAAAACATTTCCTCAAACAGTCATGGAGAACAAAGCTAAAATCAATCTGTTTATTCTCTAAAGGATTATTGGATTTTTGATGGTCACTAAACATCGATCCAACATTCAGTTTCTGTATCTGGCAAATTTTGAATGCCTTTTCGCGAATAGCTTTTGTCATATTTTTATTATTAAGCAATTACGTCACTTTTTTGCAATCATATGATAATTGATTTTTAAAAAACGGTATAACTGATGTGCAAATTTATTTTAATACGCATTATTCGCAAAAACTAAGTTTGTTGATGACTTGTGTCCTTAAATAAGTCACTCAAAGTTCTTTGGAACAGCTAAATGCCGCATGACAATTTATTGTTCTCCAAAAAGAACTGAATCATAGCTGATAAGGATCAGGCTACTTCAACTTTTGTCTTTAACAAAGCCGCTAATCGTATTTTTAAAGGAATTTAAGATTATGAAAAAAAAACAGTTTAAAAATTGTTTGAATTCAAAAACTTTTTACATAAAATTTAAATTTCCAATAACCGTTAAAATTTGAATCTTCAATAACCGTTGAAAGTGTATGAAGAAAATTCCACGAAATCCTAAAGTACAACAATTTGATGAAATTCCTTTTATCAATTACTACACAAAAGAAGATAAGAATGCGCACTGATCATCAATCGACACCGTGTCTTTTTTTGCTAATTACTTTTGTTACTTTTCGCGAATTCATTGTGTGAATGACAAAAAAAAATTAATGAAGAAGTAAGAAACATACCTTCACGGATCGATGTGTTGACAGTAATTGAAAAGAATTATGTTTGCGATGGAAATTAAGCACTCCTCCGATTTGTTTTTATTGCTTCCTCACCAACCAATCCAGTCAATTTTCCATATCAAAAAGTACTCGCTGTTATCTGATAAATTATGGTTTTTGCTGTTTATTTGACGATTAATTAGTTGAAGGGAACGATAAAGCTATTAAACTGTTTATAAATTAAAAGACCGGCGAGGCAAACTTTTTCATTTCTGCTTTGACATTATCTTGATATACACACAAACCTGCGAAACTGCTCATTGAAGGAATAAAAATAAAGAAGTTGAACAATATTTTAATTAAATAATATAAAAATGTCTCTCACTGTACACAGTTATGGTCATCATCAGCCAAAGAGACCATCGTTCAGACGACGAAGGATGGAGCACAGTAAAAGCGATATTAATAATAATACAAAATTAACACATAGTTCTTCACACGAGAACTGCAGTTGTTTTGTGTCAACAAATCCCGGCAGTTCAAGTCGTCACTTTGAAAACACTCTTAAAGTGCTCGACAAAAAGCGAAATTTTAGAAAAACATTTAGTCTATCGAGTATTCGGGAGGAGTCACAAAGCTTCCTCGATTTGGAACTTGAGATTGCGGATCGATTACGCGAATTAAAAGAGAAAAGTGCCATAAGTTTAAGTAGATTAAATCTTGACGAGGACGATGATGGAATAATATATTTTATGTCTCGCGATCGGAGCGGTTCAACGAATCTTAAAATGAGATTCGTCAATTCATTGAGTAACCTGTCGACTATCATACGGAATGGAATCAATAAAATTAATGATAACGGTAAATTTTTTTATGTCTTGAAAAGCAGCAACAACATTGTTTACATGCATTCTGTGTATGCATTCTCATTTGGTAGTGAAATGGGGAATGAATGATGAATGAATGTTACTTATGCTCTACATCTGTCTTGTTTTGTGTATATCACATGTGATCTGAGGTGAAAATGATTTTTTTTATAATTCACCAATAATTGAGGTGAATGTTGTCGACTTGTGGTGAGTTTCATTAATTTGTGGTGAAGTTCAATAACAACAAGTGTAAATTTGATTAAAAATTAAGAAAATTTAATTTTAAGAGTTAAAACTGTCTGTAAACATAGATATTTATTCGACATTGCCAATTTGTGCTTTAATTTTACGTGTTAAGTTATTAAAAAGTTTGAATATTTGAGGTAAATAAGATTTTTGCAAGAAAATATTTTAATCTTGAAATATTTTGCATAAAACTGCTTTTAACCAGTTTATATCTTCAAATTTGTCAATAAGATGACAATATTATACAGCTATCAGCCTATCCTATTTTGCACATGTGAGTTTTCGAGTGCAAATTTGGAATTTTTGAACATTAAAAAGATTTTTAAATTTAAGTTAAATTGCCTCTAAAATCATCAATTGAAGTGATTTATTGCCACATTTTCTGCAGTCCCTCAATGATAAGCATATCATTATCATAGATAAACGATTGGAAATAGTCGAATTATTATTTTTAAAATCCAGTATGAAAATGTAAACAACTTTGACCTCAATTTTATCAAGTTATACAGAGTATTGGAAGTTAATTCCTTTGATGATAACAATAAGGAATATTCTGGTTATAAAGCTTAACATAAAAGAGTTTAATTGCATTTTTTTAAGATTAGGAATAACAGAAATTTAAAATTTCATTTTTCAACTTTCGTTGTCAAAAACAATTCAAATAAAAAATGACTGTTAAAAATTCAAATTAAAAATATAACTGCCAATAGCTTAAAAAAGATTAATAACTGAACAACTTACTTCATCTCAGATCACTTGTGTTATTGTTGTCTTCATTTCTGTGTGTTTGAGTTAGGGAAAATTCAAAAACAACAACAACAACAAAGAATGTTACTCTCATGTTTTTCATCTTGGTCCCCTTCACTTCCTCCAATGCTGCATGTAGTACGTGAAAAACATTCCAGAATCATTATCCTTGCCTCTTCTTTATTACGTCATTCTTTTTCGATGCGAATTAAAAGTGAGACGCTTTTCTAATAAAATCAGTGGAAAAAAATTAAATTTTTATTAAGAATTGAGGAATCTTAAGTATTTAAGACTCTATATCCCAGTGAACTAAAATAACAATATGTTTAGTCGTGTCGTTTCAAATTTTCGCAAAAAGACAAGAAAAATTGGACAGAGCAAGTCCTTATCGAGTTCATTATCTTCTGATGAATTATTTTATCGATGTACTAATTATCAGCAACAAATTGAAAAGAAAGTTTTTGCGACTAATTCACCTTCATTTGACGAGAACGATGAAAATAATATTTTATCAAGTAATGCTACTTGTAACAGCGACGCACAAGATTCCACGACTTGCGATAACAATGAATCAGGTTGAGATAATGATATACCTTTAATATTATAAAATGGTGGAAATAAGAGCAAAATGTTGTTGTTTACACATTAATTCATCAAGTTTTATGTTTACTATTTATTTTCTATCGAATTGTTGCTCAATTGTCATACTCGTGTCTCATTAGCATTATGTCTATTTTTTATTGCAGTCCTGTCTGGAAAAAGGTGCTCCGAAATGACAACATGCTATGATGATATTGAAGCGGTGACAAGATTACTGCAAGAAAAAGAAAAGGTACTTAAAATGTCAACAAAATTCCAAAACTTTTATCAAAACAAAAAATTTATTTTTGAGATAATTTCAAGGTTGATTGAATGTTTTTTCTTATATTTCTATCGATTCTCACGTACATTAGGATCTTGAATTGACTGTGCATATAGGAAAGGAACTTTTATCACAAAATACACACTTAGAGAAAAGAATAATAGAATTAGAATCAGAGCTTAGAGGTGCTAACGAGAGTATTGCACAACTTAGTCATGAATTAGTGCAGAAAACAGAGCTTATAAACATCCTGGCGGAGAATGAGGAGACGCTTAGTGAAAATGGTAAGTTATCCCGTCCACAACAGTTATCAAAATAACTTCTTTATCATCTATTTTAGCCTCGCCTTCATCATCAAAATTAGTCAATATAGAACTGATACAGAGAAAAATCAATGTTTTGGAGAAGGAAAATAAACAGCTACACACAGAAGTGCTGCAAGTGCAGGAAGCAGCCGATGAGATTGAGGAACATGAAAAAAGATTAATGCAAGATCTCAGTGAACAATTAAATTTAACAAACACACAGTATGAAGGCATAAATCTAGAATTGGAGAGGTATAAGGAAGAGAATCGATTGCAGAACGAACAGATAGCCAATTTATCGCAAAGATTATCCGATGCGGAATATAGATTGCACGAACTATTGACTGAAAATGAGGAAGCATACATCACATTGAGTGTAACAAAGGAGAATCAAAATTTACTCGCTTCGGAGCTATCCGAGTGTAAAAGTCGTTATCAAGAAACTTTAACACTGCTTCAAGAGACTCAATTATTATTACGCGAGAAACAACGACGCTCACAACCTCAATCAAATCGTAGTTCTCTTTATGTACCAGGGGGTATTCAAGTTATTCCACAATACAATCCAGAATCACTCGCAACAGAACTTATGGAGTCATCAATGTTCTCAGAAAATAGCAGTCTCGATAGCGGGATTAATTCTGATCATGGACATAATAAACAAGTTCCTCAATTCCAAAAAGTTTTTGATACAGTTAAATGTGCTGGTAATAATACATTTAATGGATTTGGTGATTCACTTGCCTCCGAATTAAACATTTTATCCTCACAACCTCGAATGTCCTGCTCAGTTTATTCAACGGAAAGTATCAACAAGTCAAATATGGAGAAAATTCCATCATTTTCAATGTACAGTTCAATTTATGGAAGTCAAAAGAATGATGATGTGACCTCGACAGTTTCTGACGATTATAATAGTCAACGACAGTTTGGAATGATGGGTTGTCCCGGCGCACAAGATTTGGAAACAGCACTCAAAAACCTCAGCTCAGCGGAAATCACAAAACGACGAACAGAACTCTCATATGGCACATACAATTATGAAAATGAGACTACTCAGACACCTGAAAGTGTTTTTTCAAACCTGTCAGCCTCAACTGGGTCATCAATGTCATATTATCGTTATCCTAAAAAGTTGGAAATTGTGAAACCTTTAGAGGTAAGTTGATGGTTTATTGCTGTGCTAAATTCTTTCCAAGCGCATTTTATTCGTGACTTTTCATTATCTCTATTTTGCTGATGAGCTTGCTAGTATTTATCAGCATTTTAGCGTATTAAAGTTACTTAAAATAATTTATGAATGAATAACTCAAGTAATTCGATCCGTCAAGTTAATTAATTTATTGATTTTTATCGAACATTTTTAACAATTCAATTATCTTATCGATTAACGATAAAAACAATTTCAAATTTTAACGGTTTTCAAAAAATTCAAATTTTCAATGAATTTGAAAGCTTGAAATTTTGAGAATCGTTATTTTTAAAATATCTAATCTTTATTGAGGAAACGCGCTATTCTGATTTTTATTATACCAAATTTGAAACATTTAATCAAAATTATCAATATTCTATAGGGCTCTATAACGTTGAATCAATGGAAAGGACTTGCCACACCTACATTAGATGGTCTTCTTCATGACAATGAGCGTGTAAAAGTACGAGGTGAAAAAGGATTGGATGAATTTGGCCTACAGATATACTGTTTAGGCGATGTCGAGGAAGATGTAGAAGAACTTCCGTCTTTGAAGCATTTCGACTCGTCTTCATGCATTTATACATACACAGACAGCAAAGTTTTACATCCAGATGATGGTGTTTCCATAACATTTAGTATGCCACCATCACGAATGTCAACGTAAGTTTATTTGACTTAATTATGTAACAAAACAATAACATTATTATTTAATATTTGCAGCGCACCGCCAACACCTCGAATTGGATTATCAAGAAGAAATTCGTGTAGCACATTTTCGGTTAGTAATGGATTAGCGTCAATGTTAAATGAGCGAGGAATATCAGCAGTAACGCCAAGCTGTCTAAACACACCATCTGGACCAAATTTCTCACCAACCCTTACACCATGTAATTCCCCTGAATGTCAATCACCAACATTAGAAAGTCAAGAGGCTCATACCGTTTCACTTACATCATTTTTGTCATCAAGTGCTGGCTTATTAAAGAAGAAAATCACTAGACAAAATAATACTAATAAGAATAGCAATAATAATCGGGAAACTGATAAGGCAGCAATAATTTTGGAGCAAAAAGTGAAACAAAGAACAATTAATTTATTAGCGGAAGTGGAAACGCTAGGAATTGAAAATGTATTACCCGCCACCTCATTATCATCGACATCACGCATCATTAATAAGCCATTGGCCCTACATAGCTCAAATATTTATACAACACGTAACAGTCCAATGACACAATTAACTAGCCTTAAACATTTATCGGATAACAGGAGGAAAAGTAGTGAGAATTCAATGGAAAGTGATAAGAATGTTAGTGCCAGTAGTTCAACAAATAATAATAATAATTCGAGTAAAGGAAGTCCTGAGGCGCGTATAAAGCAGAAACTTTTGAGGCACAAAACCCGCCGTAATTTAAATGCTGTGCAAAGGCCTGATTTAGGAACCGTGAATGGAACTAAAGCAGCTGATAAACCTAAAGATACTCAATCCAAGCCAGGATTAGTTGGTGGATTTGTGGGAAGTATAAGTTCAATATTCTTCGGACGAAAAGGAGGCTTCCTGTAAAATAACTGAGGAAAGTACTTATGTTGGATACGCTTTCATTAAGTTTTAGTCGTTAATTTTATATATATATCTACTTTTAATTGATAGGTAACTGAAGAAATTTTTTGTAGACTATGGGGATCATTCATTAATGCCGTTCCTGAAAATTGTGTTCAAATTTTTTTTAATGGATTCTTAAAATTCAAAAAATTAACGGTTGTCAAAAATTTTAATTTTGTATGAATTTCAATTTTTGGAAGTCCGTTAAAATTACAATCATTTTTAGTCAACGACATTGATAATGACCCCAGCAATAGCAATATGTTCATTTCAAAAACATACACAAACACAAGAAAAGTTTTTAATTTATTTTTTTAAACATATTAAGTATCTGCCAATTTATAAGTAGCATGTAGTTAATTAAACAATAATTTTTATAGTGGATAACGAGTAAGAGCTGCTCGTGATCTTGCTTTAAAAATTATTCAGTGGCTGTTTTTACTGTTTCTATATTTAGTTGCATTGATAGATAAGTTAAATTATTAAAATCAAAATTCAAATTCGGTGTCTTATCCTTTCAACCAAAAAAGAAAATTATTAAGAATGTGAAATGTATAAAAATTTTAGATGATTATTGAAACATGGCCTTATTGACTTAATAAACACGTTAGTGATGTAAAAAAGATTATTTTGTAGACAAAAGAAAGAGATTTCGACACAGTTTTATCATTTGTGCTTATCCAGCGATGCCATAAACGATGAATTTTATGGTTTTTCATAATTACAGTGTAAAATAATAGTTATAGTCTTCTTATTCTTCTTTTATTGACCATAAAAAAAATATTAATTAAAGCAAAAAACAGAGTTTATGATTCAGATTTTATCATATTTTAATTAAACATGTTGAATCGAGTATTAAATGAAAGAATTTTAGGAGAATAAAACTTAAATACCTTGAGAAAAATTTAAAACTTTGTTGTATTTTTTTTTCAGTTCCATTAAATTGCTTATTTCAGGTGTAGATTAATTCTTAGACAGAAGCAATAAATTGAATATTGTTCGATGAAGCTTCATGATTTTTTTCTACATAGACATGCAATTGAATTCGAATTGGAAGCAACAGGTGGCTAGGAATACAATATATCTAATAAGACTAGGAGAATGAAGCTATATGACAGCTATCAACAAGTAGGATTTTCAGACACTTGCATTCATTATAAACTTAATTTTGAAATTTTTGAACAATTTTGAGTAATTTTAAATTGCTCTAAAATGCTGAACACTTTAAGGCTTGTTAATTTATTACGTAACGCAAAATAACGAATTTTTGAACCATCTACCCCTAAAAAGCGATAGTAATATTTGAAGGATCAGTGAGTAGCACAGAAAACTCAAAAGCCTTAATCTAAATTCTAGACGTCATACAGTACACAACTGCATATAATAACTAGATAATCATGACCTATTTAATAAATTTCTGATTATTATACTTCAATCATAATTAAAATTTTCCATCAGAACCGATCCAATCATCATAAATAGACATTGTTCTTCATACTTTAGATAAATACATTAAATGTTCGATTATTAATTAAATTTGGTAATAATAGAGACAATGAATTGATTTTCATGGCAAGGAAGTCTACTAATTCTCAATAAAAAAGCAGCGTGTGTACGTGAAACTAGCTGAAAATAAAGCTTAATGCACTCAATAAAAATGAACAGATATAAAAAATAATTAATTAGTAAGTAGTGGTATATTTAAGCATACAGATATACTTTTTTTGTTTTCATTGTCATGACATAAAATTTAGCATCTCAAATATTATGTTCCATACATCTATAGATAGATTCATCTCTTATAATTTAATATATTCTCTTTTCTTTTTACTTTTTCACATATTTTTGTTTTTCATCTTTAATGAAAAATGCATAAGACATTTGTTGATTTCCTTGTAGAGTTTTAAAAGTACATTAATTAAATTTCCTCAGTTGCTTAATAAAGTTTAGGGTTCAGAATCAAAATATATTAAGCGTCGTTCACAAATGACGTTTATTTTTAAAATCCCAAATTTCATCCCATTTGACATAAAATTCAGTTAAGAACTCTCCTAGGACAAACCCAAAAAACATTTATGTATCCAAAACAGTCACATTTTTAACGGGTCTCAAAAATTCAAATTTTAACGGGTTTCAAGAATTCAAAATTTATGGTTTTTTAAAAATTTAATATTTTTTTAACAGTTTCACAAACTTGACTGTCATAAAATTCACATCCTTACGTCAATACTGTTTAAAAAGTGTCACAAAGCTCGAATTATCATCCCCTGTTAAATTCTAAACGTCACAAATGAACGATTCAATTTCTTAGATGAAAAAAAAGTAACCCTCATTTCTAATAAGTTAATTCCCATCCTTCGAATATTTTATTAAAAATTTCCTCAATTAGATTCCGTCATTTAATGAGCTCTCGGTAAAAGGTACTAAATATATTAAATGTATATAGACTTTCTTAATAGAAATTTAATACTAATATAGTTCCAATTTCGTTATTACATTATCTTTAAATTATTATTAAATTAGACCAATGATTTGTCGACAATTAGTTACTCTTATTATTTCTTATTAATTTCATTTACTTAGACATTTTTTTTTTCTTTAGTTTAGTTTTAGTTTACTTCCTTCAACCTTCCTTTTTTCGTCTTGTTTCTTTTGTTATATTTTTAATTTTGCTTCAATAGAAAAATGAATACCTATTCAGTTTCAAAAAATCAGTGCAAAAGTGTGTATTAAATATCATTATAATTATTGAGTTATTATTGGATGCCATCTTGATATAGGCTTTCTTGGATTGTGCATCATTTCTTTCCAATGATCCCTCCCTAATGTGTCATCTTTTCCAATACTGTCATCGAGGCCGATTCCACAGCTTCCTACAGCGTCCTGCTCATTGTTTCCATTCTCCAATATGTAAATCTGAAAAAGTTAACAAAATTAATTTGAATTTCAAACTTAACGGGTTTAAAAATTTTGAATTTCAACAATTTGTTTTAAATTTTGAACTTAAACGATTTTAAGAATTTTGATTTTTATCGGTTCTTGAAGCAGTTAAGTGCCTTGCTGGTCGAATAGGTAAGGCGCTTGGCTCAAATTTGGTATGGTAACTCGAAGGTCGTCGGTTCGAATCCAGCCATTTCCAAATTTGTTCTTTTTCAGAATTTTAGATACTTCGACTGCTTAATGTACGAGATCAAGCCATAATTGGGCATTTGGGCATCGTTGGATTAAAGAACGGATCAGGAACTTGAAGTGTAGCGGGAGAAATAGGAACGAGAGCTACAAAATTACCTTATAATGGAATATTGTCAGAACGGACCTGAAATGTATCACGTCACGCTCACAGAAGATTGAAACGAGAGCCTGAATTTAATCGAAACCTAGATTTGAAGATTAGAAGCTTGATTCTACGTCACCCAAAGTTATATGAAATGATCACTAATCAATGTAAAAAGTAAAACATGTATAAATAATAATTCTTTCGGACGGTAACGTCGACAAATAAATAATAGTAATTCAAATTTTGAATTAATATTTTTTTTTTAAAAAATTTTGAAACTTTTCGTTTTTTTTCTCAAAATTTTGAATTATTGATTTTGATAAAGAATTTCAAAAAAATTTCACAGCTTCAATAATTTTAAAATTGTGACCACGAAATTGTAGAAAACCAATCCAAAACAGAATAAATTAATCTCCAATTCGTTGAAGCACAAAAGCTCTTCAAATCAAAAAGCCATTTAACTCACTTCAAGTCCAGAATTATTGAAATTCGACGATGGTAGATTGAACGTAAACGCCTCATTCCAAATATGCTCATTATAGGATTTCTTTGAAAATTCCGTTTTCTTTTTCTTCACACGCTTTCCGTTTTGAATAAGGTAAATCTGAGAACGAGAATTAAAGTTATGGCAGTGATTAATATGCTGAATATTGATTAAGGGAGGTCAAGGAACCACATACTCGCGCAAAAAGTTCATCATTCTCCAAATTTTTCGCTCTAATAACGACGAGTGTAAGTCTTGCAGCTTGTGGAAGATAGTTTAAGCTTATTAAAAGCTCAGGACGATCAATTGCTTGTCGTTTAACTTTAATAATATCGCCCCATATTTCATTAGATTTCGATAAATCCATGTCTGCTAAATTTATCTTTAATTCTCCTGATATGTCATTTGATTTATCTGCATCGAGGACCTGTACGATAGATGGATGAGAAAAATGGGATTATAAATGATGCAAAAGGAATGTGAAATGAGTACGTACTAGTAATATTAATTCCGTTTCGGTTAGTTGAAGTTGGTCACGTGAGATAGGAAATTTAAAGTGCTGATTAAAGTACGGATTTGTCTCGAATCGAAAGATATTTGTTTCCCTTTTTCGCTGGTCAATTTCGGGCTTAATCTCTAAACGTACGTACACCTCTCGAAATCCATTTTCATCAGATGGAGACAAATTATGAGCTTCAATTAAATGAACAGCAAGATCGCTACATTTTGAGTCATATGTAACACGTAAATGAAGTTTTCCTACACAAATACTGTTCTCCGGAGCATTGTACATTATTGGACCGAGTTGTCGTGTATAAAGATCTAGTTGTAAAGCACCTAATGGACTGTAAAGAAATGAATAATTAAAAAGTGATATACATCATTTGCAGGCATTAATATAAGCACATGAAATGTGATCGTTAAAAACAAATTTAGACAGGCACATACCTAGGTGGAGCAGGATTATTAGAACTACATGGATCATTTCGCGGTTGTAGAAGTAATGGAGGGCGATTAATTTTTGGCGATGAGCATGATTGAAACAGCGCTGATGGTGAGAATAAATTGGCTTGCGACGGACTTGACACTTTAAGTTTCTCATGTTCTGCGCTTGACGGCGACATCGAGCGTGCATCTAAACTTAAACATCTTAAATCTCTCATTGGACTAGGTGAGCGAGAATACTAAAGATGTATTTGGAATGTAGATGAAGAACAAGTTTATGTATTGTAATGGAATGTTTAGGGGAAAGAATGTAATGACTTACAATGAATTTTCCATCTTCTTGTAATGAAGTATGATGACCTCGAGCATCAGAAAATCGAATTTGTGGTGATGAACCTCTTGTCTAGGAAATAAGAGATGAAATTTTAATTTAAATAAATTATGAACAAAAGCATTTTGCTCTGTTTTGGGGCTTAGAATCAAAATAAAGTCCTTTTGAACTTAAATCTAATTTTATGGCAGTCAATAGCTCATGACAAATTATAACAAGTCCAATTGCTGAAATTCTTAATTTTGCAAATTTTAAGAACTTAAAAAAAAGTTTCAGAATCTTTTCAAAAAGCTCTATCCAAAAAAGGGGATTCACATACTTGATGTAAATTTTCAACGCTACTCTCGCTAGAAATACTGGATGTTCGCGCTAAATGTCTTGGTGGAAATGATTTGCTTTGATGTTGAAGGACGATTGATGGAGATGGAGATGATGACAATGGAGATCCTTTTCCATAAGGTTCCTTTAATGCACATACATAAGAGTTTAATGACACACACACATTACAATGACACAAAATTGGATGTACAAATTTACCTCAAATGACGAACTTGCAGATTTCGCAGCATCCCTAGAACAGTCCTTTTGAATCGATATCGCAGACGGAGATCCATCATCTGAAGATGTATTCGTTGGCGATTCATTGTTCAAATCAGCAGCACGTTTCACTTTTTCTCGAGCAATCTTTGACCATGAATCGAGTCGATGAGCAAACCATGCAGCACCATGAGCGCTCATTTCAACAAAAAAAAATAAAATTTCACTTAAATTAAAAATCCAATTCCTTTTTGCACCGTCGTCGAGATAATTGAAAATTCACAAACTTTATGGACATAAAATTAATTTTTTCGTCCTTAACTTCCAAAAAATCTACGTAGTAAACTCATCTATTCATAAGAAAGTGTTTGATTTTATTTTTTTCCATTCAATTGATTCCGTAAGATTTGAGATTTCTTTTTTGTCTTTTTTTTTTGTATGCGATGTGATGAGAAGCAACAGTTTAGTAAAAAATGCGAAAAAAGAATCCTCTCATAAGAAGAAAATTTATCTCTTCACTCATGCGTTTTTCAGCTGGAAATCCTTGAATTTTGATTCAAAAAAAGTTTAATTGTCTTTAAACTCGCGCCATCGACTAGAATTTTAGAATATTCAAATCACTTTTAATTCCATTCAAAAGCTCGACATTACAGGACCTAAAGTCGTCTTATAATTCTTAATAAAAACACAAGATTCCAAATTTTTTATTCAAACAGGTGTTGTTTTATTGAAAAAGTAACGAAAAACGAAAAATGATTCTGCGCAGAGCACAAAAGTTGTAAAAAGTTCAGTGTTGGACGAAGTTCTCTCTTCTTTTTTTTTTGCAAAAAGCACTCTACATAAGAACATACAGACGTTGTCCATGATACAGTAAAAAAAATAATAATAAAAACCATCGTGTGTATTTCACATAAATAGATTGTCAAACTTACTTACTTACTCTCTTTTTCACTACTCTCTCATTTCTCTTCCTTTCTTGTACTTAGTTCACTTCCATTAAAAATTATTTATTTATTTATTTTTTATTGTTGTTGGCATCGCTCTGAATCACTAAAGTGAATTGTCTCAGATTATTCAACCTAAACTGTGTGTTTGATTTACTGTGGAACGAGTGCTTTTGACTGTCTTAGAATTGAGGTTCAAATGTTTAAATCAGTCATTGTTTGATCTTAATCCAATGTTTCGTAGACTTTAAATATTGATTTAAGTTTAACTTAAATTTGTGACAATGCTACGAAACTGATCGCATGATCAGTAATGATTAAGTAACTGAGAGCGACCAAGAAAGTCGGCAAAAGTACATCTCGCTACTCGAAAGTTAAGAAGGATTTAAAAAAAGGATTAACTTTAAATTCTAGATTAATTAATTCAGTAAATCCCAAATTGAGTCAAATCACCCTTAAGACTAATTATGATACATCCCTAAATCCAAAATCCACAGCAAATCTTTAAAATTTTTTAGCAGCACAAAACGAGATTTTGCATCATGAGATCTATCAAATTACCGTTAACATTAAAATATTCACACATTTGCTGCAAATCATTGAGATTCAAAATAATCCACTTTAGTGAGCCACAAGCAGTCAAGTGTGTATCATAAATAAAATCATAATCCTAGCCATTATTACTTTCTTGTTGATATGAATTCTCTTCGTTGATTTTCGGACAACGCCTTATTAACATTCAAAATTATTCTATAGAGCCTAATTCTACATACTGCAACTACCAAATTTTGTGTGATTTTCACTAACAGTTTTGTGTTACTTATTTCTTCTTACTTTTCATATCAAATTGAATTACAAATTGGAATGCTTTAACATCGTTAATTTATAGGGATGGGGGATATGTCCTAATATATTCTGTTTATCTCTAGACATTATTATCATAATTATTATAATCAGTAAGAGGCAAGCTTTGTAAATTTTTATAGCAATTTCACTGTGAAAACTCTCAAAGAAAGGAATAAATGGGGATAGGGGATGTTCACAAGTGACGTTTACCTTGGATTTACATTCAAGAACTCCATCCTCGCTTCTTTTTTTGGAATATAAAGTCACGCACTTCATATTAGAGCCTTGGAATGGAACTTAGGGTCGTTTGGAAATTACCTAAAATTTGAGGAGTTTAAGGTACAAATTTTATGCTACACTTAACACTTTTCCATACAAATTTTGTTACAACAAGTAGGTAAGGGATCTAAAATGATCAATCTTAACATTCCGAAATATTCAAACAACATTCATGATTACGTGAAAGTTGATTATAAACTCCAAATAATCCAATAGACGTCACTAGTGAACTGGAACCCGCCAAAAAGGGATTACATAAAATTAACAATTAAAAATACTTCATTATCATATACAGTAATATAATGTATGACAAGCAAGGGGTGGAATATAAACTTATTCATAAAAATCCATCATAGCCATTCAAAAATGTAAATGAACAGACGTGATAATTAAGCAATAAAGCTGCTATAAATCAGGAAAGCGTGTCTCGTCCAGAGAGTAATTGTCGGGTATGTCAAAAAGCTCATCGGGTATGTTGTTGCGAAACTCAAAGTCTTGAAATGTTATCTTAGCTGATACGGTCGGAATAATTGGAATATGAATGGATATGGGGAATCCTTTTTTGGGCAATTTAAGGGATATAAAATCTCGTAATTTTGAAAAATGTTTCAATGGCGCAATCACTTCAAATACATTCAATAATGTCTCTAAACATAATGGAAAATCCGAACACATAGCCACGGTAGCTTTTAACTGCTTCTGTGACTTTTTAAATACCAATTCTCGTCCCAATGCAGGATAATTTCCAATTTCTGAATTCATGTATTCTTCGAACGTTATGGCTTTTACTGGCGGTGGTTTTAATGACATTCGTCGTGGGATCTTTATTATTTATTTATTATTGTCGTCATATCGTTCGTTGTCATCGTGGTTATGGTTTATGAGACAAGAAAATGTGTATGGAAATAAAAAGAAAGAAAAAAACAAAGCATAAAGAATAAATGTAAATAAAAGAGAGCAGTATAATCCTTTTTAATTTATTTCTCACCTCCATATTTGGATCGATAACTTGTGATTTCGTCAACGATTCCACAATGCTTGTCTTATTCTTTTGTAGATCGTCTCGATTTAAATGTTCTCGTCGTTTACGTTGCTCTAAAGTAAGTCCATTTACATGGTATAAATCACATTTGTATTGACCAGCAATTGTTTCTTTCTTATCTTCACGGAAAAACCATCCAGTCTGCACTTGTGTGAATGAGACATTTTTTGTCGAGAAATTCGCCGTAACAATATCGGACATCATTAATATGTCAATTTCGTCTTGAATTTCAGCTTCACTTTCCTGCGTTCTAACATACTGATAAACTTTTGCCTCATTATCGAGTGCCGTTATCATTGTTTCGTTGTCTCCACAAAAAAGAAATGAAATATCGCCACGCTCCCATTTCATTTCGTTAAAATCTATAAGTGTGGAATCGAGGCGTATTTTGGAACCCAACTTGTATATTTTACACACATCATTCGGCAAAATCTTTGATATTAAGGGAACCCAGCTACTACTCAACCGCAACAGCAGCATGACACATAAAATAAAACGAAAGTAAATAGCAGTTAGATAATATGATATGCAAAAAAATAAGCTATTATGCAAACCAGTTACCTGAACTCCCATTTCAATTCCATATAAAAGTCGTTAATTTGTGTGAGCGCGGTTTTGAGAGACTCTTTTCGCTTTGATAGCGACTTTCGTGTTTGTTCCTTTAATTTCTTTAAAATTACTTCAATCATTTGACGGTTTCCATAGGATATTGCTTCACTCAGTGGCGTCCAGCCATTGCAGTTCTTAATATTAACTGTAGCATTATGTTTTAATAGGATACATACACATTCTAAAACATAGAAAATAGAATAGAGCATAGAAAAGGAAGCCACAATAAAATTTAATCAAGAATGCATAAACTGGATTATGGTTGTTTGCTTAGTTACCTATTCGTCCAGTAGCTGTGGCTAGATATAAAGCTGTATTTCCATGCTTATCCTTTGCATACGATAATAACATTAAACTCTTGTGCTCTAATTTTGCTTTTTATATCATGAAAATGTTTCAAAACTTACCTTTTTATCAACGATTTCCTTGTTATTCTTTAGTATCTGAGTAAGTTTCTTTAAATCATTGTTAAAAACACTCTTGTGAAGCTCAAATTCTTCAGCTTCTTTTGACGTTTCATCCATAATAGTTAATTTTCATATTAAATTCAATTTAAAACATTTCACAGCACAGTCAGATTAAAAATCCACAGAGAAATACTTGAGAAATTATGAATTACGAAATTCGAACTGAAATGGGGCACTGCTATATCCTCCAAAAAGCTTAAATCACCCAAAAACTTAGTAATTTTCTTGGTCTCAGTTTTTGAGACTTTTAATGATGAATGACTGTAAGTTATATTTCTGTATTTAATACTATTTAAAAGAAATCTTAGGCACGATGTTTTGACCAAAACATGACAATTCAGCCCTTTGAAAATTGGAGAAAAACCAATTTTTTTGACTTTCTCTTTAATGACTTGTGGTTCATTGTATTTTTTATCATTATAAATGATAAAGAATGCTAATATAGATATAAAATCGATATTTTTTTGAAAATAACCTACTATGTCGGAAACCAAAAATGCTTTAAATTGCATTTTAAAACATATCTAGGTATTTTAAATGATAAAGAATGCTAATATAGATTTAAAATCGATATTTTTTTGAAAATAGCCTACTATGATCAAAACCAAAAATGCTTTAAATTGCATTTTAAAACATATCTAGGTATTATAAATGATAAAGAATGCTAATGTAGATATAAAATCGATATTTTTTTGAAAATAGCCTACTATGATCAAAACCAAAAATGCTTTAAATTGCATTTTAGATTTAAAATTGATATTTTTTTGAAAATAGCCTACTATGATCAAAACCAAAAATGCTTTTAATTGCATTTTAAAACATATCTAGGTATTATAAATGATAAAGAATGCTAATGTAGATATAAAATCGATATTTTTTTGAAAATAGCCTACTATGATCAAAACCAAAAATGCTTTAAATTGCATTTTAAAACATATCTAGGTATTATAAATGATAAAGAATGCTAATGTAGATATAAAATCGATATTTTTTTGAAAATAGCCTACTATGATCAAAACCAAAAATGCTTTAAATTGCATTTTAGATTTAAAATTGATATTTTTTTGAAAATAGCCTACTATGATCAAAACCAAAAATGCTTTTAATTGCATTTTAAAACATATCTAGGTATTATAAATGATAAAGATTGCTAATGTAGATATAAAATCGATATTTTTTGAAAATATCCTACTATGTCGGAAACCAAATATGCTTTAAATTGCATTTTAAAACATATCTAGGTATTATAAATGATAAAGATTGCTAATATAGATATAAAATCGATATTTTTTGAAAATATCCTACTATGTCGGAAACCAAATATGCTGTAAATTGCATTTTAAAACATATCTAGGTATTATAAATGATAAAGAATGCTAATGTTGATATAAAATCGATTTTTTTTTGAAAATAGCCTGCTATGATCAAAACCAAAAATGCTTTTAATTGCATTTTAAAACATATCTAGGTATTATAAATGATAAAGATTGCTAATATAGATATAAAATCGATATTTTTTGAAAATATCCTACTATGTCGGAAACCAAATATGCTGTAAATTGCATTTTAAAACATATCTAGGTATTATAAATGATAAAGAATGCTAATGTAGATATAAAATCGATATTTTTTTGAAAATAGCCTACTATGATCAAAACCAAAAATGCTTTAAATTGCATTTTAAAACATATCTAGGTATTATAAATGATAAAGATTGCTAATATAGATATAAAATCGATATTTTTTGAAAATATCCTACTATGTCGGAAACCAAATATGCTGTAAATTGCATTTTAAAACATATCTAGGTATTATAAATGATAAAGAATGCTAATGTAGATATAAAATCGATATTTTTTTGAAAATAGCCTACTATGATCAAAACCAAAAATGCTTTAAATTGCATTTTAAAACATATCTAGGTATTATAAATGATAAAGATTGCTAATGTTGATATAAAATCGATATTTTTTTTTTGAAAATATCCTACTATGATCAGAACCAAAAATGCTTTAAATTGCATTTTAAAACATATCTAGGTATTATAAATGATAAAGATTGCTAATATAGATATAAAATCGATATTTTTTGAAAATATCCTACTATGTCGGAAACCAAATATGCTGTAAATTGCATTTTAAAACATATCTAGGTATTATAAATGATAAAGAATGCTAATGTAGATATAAAATCGATATTTTTTTGAAAATAGCCTACTATGATCAAAACCAAAAATGCTTTAAATTGCATTTTAAAACATATCTAGTATTATAAATGATAAAGAATGCTAATGTAGATATAAAATCGATATTTTTTTGAAAATAGCCTACTATGATCAGAACCAAAAATGCTTTAAATTGCATTTTAGATTTAAAATTGATATTTTTTTGAAAATAGCCTACTATGATCAAAACCAAAAATGCTTTAAATTGCATTTTAGATTTAAAATTGATATTTTTTTGAAAATAGCCTACTATGATCAAAACCAAAAATGCTTAAAAGTGCATTTTAAAACATATCTAGGTATTTTAAATGATAAAGATGCTAATGTTGATATAAAATCGATATTTTTCTTTGAAAATAGCCTACTATGATCAAAACCAAAAATGCTTTAAATTGCATTTTAATACATATTTAGGTATTATAAATGATAAAGAATGCTAATATCGAAATAAAATCGATTTTTTTTTTTTGAAAAAAGCCCACTATGATCAAAATCAAAAATGCTTTAAATTGCATTTTAAAACATATCTAGGTATTATAAATGATAAAGAATGCTAATGAAGATATAAAATCGATATTTTTTTGAAAATAGCCTACTATGATCAGAACCAAAAATGCTTTAAATTGCATTTTAGATTTAAAATTGATATTTTTTTGAAAATAGCCTACTATGATCAAAACCAAAAATGCTTTAAATTGCATTTTAAAATATATCTAGGTATTATAAATGAAGAAGAAGGCTAATATAGATTTAAAATCGATTTTTTTTTTGAAAATATCCTACTATGATCAAAACCAAAAATGCTTAAAAGTGCATTTTAAAACATATCTAGGTATCATAAATGATAAAGATTGCTAATGTTGATATAAAATCGATATTTTTCTTTGAAAATAGCCTACTATGATCAAAATCAAAAATGCTTTAAATTGCATTTTAAAACATATCTAGGTATTATAAATGATAAAGATTGCTAATGTTGATATAAAATCTATATTTTTTTTTTTGAAAATAGCCCACTATGATCAAAACCAAATATGCTTTAAATTGCATTTTAAAACATATCTAGGTATTATAAATGATAAAGAATGCTAATGTAGATATAAAATCGATATTTTTTTTTTGAAAATAGCCTACTATGATCGAAACCAAATACGCTCTAAATTGCATTTTAAAACATATCTAGGTATGATAAATGATAAAGAATGCTAAGATAGATTTAAATTCGATATTTTTTTAAAAATAGCCTACTATTATCAAAACCAAAAATGCTTTAAATTGCATTTTAAAACATATCTAGGTATTATAAATGATAAAGATTGCTAATACTGATATAAAATCGATATTTTTTTTTTGAAAATAGCCCACTATGATCAAAACCAAAAATGCTTTAAATTGCATTTTAAAACATATCTAGGTATTATAAATGATAAAGAATGCTAATATAGATTTAAAATCGATATTTTTTTGAAAATAGCCTACTATGATCAAAAACAAAAATGCTTTAAATTGCATTTTAAAACATATCTAGGTATTATAAATGATAAAGAATGCTAATATAGATTTAAAATCGATATTTTTTTGAAAATAGCCTACTATGTTCAAAAACAAAAATGCTTTAAATTGCATTTTAAAACATATTTAGATATTATAAATGATAAAAAATGCTAATATCGAAATAAAATCGATATTTTTCTTTTGAAAATAGCCTACTATGATCAAAACCAAAAATGCTTTAAATTGCATTTTAAAACATATCTAGGTATTATAAATGATAAAGAATGCTAATATAGAGTTAAAATCGATATTTTTTTGAAAATAGCCTACTATGATCAAAACCAAAAATGCTTTAAATTGCATTTTAAAACATATCTAGGTATTATAAATGATAAAGAATGCTAATATAGATTTAAAATCGATATTTTTTTGAAAATAGCCTACTATTATCGAAACCAAAAATGCTTTAAATTGCATTTTAAAACATATCTAGGTATTATAAATGATAAAGAATGCTAATATAGATTTAAAATCGATATTTTTTTGAAAATAGCATTTTAAAACATATCTAGGAATTATAAATGATAAAGAATGCTAATGTAGATATAAAATCGATATTTTTTTTTTGAAAATAGCCTACTATGATCGAAACCAAATACGCTTTAAATTGCATTTCAAAACATATCTAGGTATTATAAATGATAAAGATTGCTAATGTTGATATAAAATCGATATTTTTTTGAAAATAGCCTACTATTATCGAAACCAAAAATGCTTTAAATTGCATTTTAAAACATATCTTGGTATTATAAATGATAGAGAATGCTAATATAGATTTAAAATCGATATTTTTTTTTGAAAAAAGCCTACTATGATCAAAACCAAAAATGCTTTAAATTGCATTTTAAAACATATCTAGGTATTATAAATGATAAAGATTGCTAATGTTGATATAAAATCGATATTTTTTTGAAAATAGCCCACTATGATCAAAACCAAAAATGCTTTAAATTGCATTTTAAAACATATCTAGGTATTATAAATGATAAAGAATGCTAATGTAGATATAAAATCGATTTTTTTTTTTGAAAAAAGCCTACTATGATAAAAACCAAAAATGCTTTAAATTGCATCTTAAAACATATCTAGGTATTATAAATGATAAAGATTGCTAATGTTGATATAAAATCGAAATTTTTTTGAAAATAGCCCACTATGATCAAAACCAAAAATGCTTTAAATTGCATTTTAAAACATATCTAGGTATTATAAATGATAAAGAATGCTAATGTAGATATAAAATCGATTTTTTTTTTTGAAAAAAGCCTACTATGATCAAAACCAAATACGCTTTAAATTGCATTTTAAAACATATCTAGGTATTATAAATGATAAAG